ATAGAAATATATTTGTCTACCTAATACTAAATTGCAATGGGTAATTGATACTGAGTTTAAAGGACCTTAAGAGGTTATACAATCCAAGGGTATCAGTATGCATGAGGCCCACAACATTCTTGAGTAAAACCCAAACCAGATTAAAATATAATTGGGAAAATTTAACAAAATAAATAAATACAACATATATATATATATAACCTTACTTTTTTTTTAGCTAGGCAATGTGGTTAAGTCACTTGCCCAGGGTCACACAGCTAGTAATTGTCAAGTGTCTGAGGCCAGGTTTAAACTCAGGTCTTCCTGACTTCAGGGCCAGTGCTCTATCCACTGCACCACCTAGCTGCTCCCTAAGATTACAATTTTGAAGTTTATATGTGGCCCACAGAGATCCTTATGTATAGTTTAATGGTACCCATTTCTTTTTAAGTTTAATAACATTGATCCAGTCCAATCCCTTCATTTTATAGATGAGAAAACTTAATGAGAAAGGTTAAGTCATTTTCTACAACCTCACACAGCCAGTAAATGGTAGAACAGGGATTCAACCTTAGTTGCCTGTTGCCCCACACCCTGGCTCTCAGATCAGGGAACATTTGACAGAAATTCTCAAAATAAGTGCTTGATAATGATGTGGATACAAACTGGATTAAGAAGAATATTAAGGGTCACTTTCCAATTCTTTGTGAAGCCCCCTCCTGAGGGGATTTGGGGCTTATTCTGTAGCTCATCCTGTAATTTGAGATCCTGTAACTTGAGGGCATCCTAAAGTCCTTTTCCCATTATCTTGCAATACCATAGAACTTCTCCTTATCTTGTAAGACCAAAAGAACTGTTTTTTTCTTTCTTATTCTGTGTCAACCATCTTCCTCATCCTGCTCATAATATTCTTCCTTAATCTTTAACCTCCATAAAAAACCCTAAAACTACATCATCATCCTGAACATCTACAAGCTGTATAGTTTTCTGTCTATATAAACCTGGTCCTCCCAAATATCAGGGCCTTGCTAACAGGCCCCTGTGCTTCATATAATAAAACTCCCATTAGCTACCGAGAATGTCTAAATGAATTTTTCACACTCAAACCACTCTCCTGAATCTGACCTCAACAATAATCTTGCAAGAAATACATCCCAGTGAAATACCCTTTCCTACTAATCACCCCAAAGTATTAAATGTTTTTCAGTTTTATTCTGGGTATATTTACTGATGTACATGTTGTCTTCCACATTAGAATGTAAACTCCTTGAGGGTAAGGACTGTTTCACATTTGTCTTTTTATTTACAACACTTAGCACTGGGCCTGGCCTATCCTTCTTGACTTCTCTGCAGCCTTTGGTACTATCTATCACCTTCTTCTCCTTGATACTCTCTTCTGTCCAGGTTTTCATGACACTGCTTTCTCCTCTGGTTTGTCCTCTTACATATCTGACCATTCTTTCTTAGTCCCCTTTGCTGGCTCTTCATCCAGGTTATGCCATTTAACTATGGGTGTTCCCCAATGGGTAACCTCTTTTCTTCATCCTCTGTACTATTTCACTTGGTAATATCTTATATTAATAGCATACGTTAACAAATGTTCCCCAACCCCATAAAGGGACCTGGAATGAAAGAGTCCAATACACCAATTAAATGCATTTGTTGTCTGAAAAAAAGCTTGTCCAGGAGAGAAGATCCTACAAGGGAGCAGAGAGGAAGAGTTGTCATATGCTCAAAGGAGAGAAAAAGGGGGTGAGATAATGTAGTTTCTAAAGGCTTTCAGAAGGGTGGGGGATTTATGGGAGAAGATATCCCAGTAAGTCAGGGAGTAAGGTATTTGGAAAGTACTAGGTCTGCAGCTACTGCTCAAGGCTAACCTTGAGCTGCTCAAGGCTAGTCCAGTCTCTACAGCCATCTCCAAGTTCATCTTAACTTCACTTCACATAGGATCACTATGTTGTCAAGCAGCTTTGAGCCTCAGAAATCCTTCTAATTGGCTGATTGTTGTGCATTCCATTGTCCTGCTCCCCGGTGAAGAAGGGAAGTTGTAATATATAGTATAGTCATTACAGAGCTCATGTCCACAATACCAGTGTCTTGGGTCTTTTTTTTTCTTCCTCTACATCATTTCACTTGGTAATCTTATCAGCTCCTGTGGTTTCAATAATCATCTCTATACAGATGATTCTTAGATTTATTTGTCCAGCCCTAACCACTCTCCTGGCCTCTATTCTCAAATTTCTACCTGCCTATTGGATATTTCAAACTGCATGTCTCATAGACATCTTAAACTGAACATGTCCAAAACTGAACTTATTACCTTTTCTCTAAAACCGTCCCCTCTTACTAACTTCCCTACTATTTGTAAAGGGTACCCATAATCCTCCCAGTAACCCAGGTTTACAACCTAAGCATTTTTGAAAATTATATTTAGTCAGTGACCTATTGTTCTAAGCTCTGCTTGTCAGTCAGTGTTGAGGGAGGTCCATGGAGTGGGGGGGAGAGGCACATCACCTAGTCCCCTGCTCTTCCTCATACCCCTACAAGGAAATTGTTAAATATTTGCTACCTGGGGGAAGAATTGAGATACAAGAGCCCAACCCCTTTTACTGTGTGGACTTACTTGAATTGTCTTTATATCATTATATCATTAGCTAGCTCCACCTTGAAGCCATCAGTGATCTCTGGTGATCAGCCCATCAACTTATTGCTACCTTGATTTACTTATAATAAATTCTTCTTAGTTGTCTTTGTCCTGAGTTTTGCCTTGTAAATCAGGGCACAAGTCCAAACAAAGAATTTTCCTTTCAATCTTCCACCACACCTTACTCTCCTTCATCCCCTAAATCCAATCAGTTGCTAAATCCTTTATCTCTTTCTTCACTTCTCCTAGATATACTCCCTTCTCTCCTCTGGCTGCCATCATCCTGGTTTAGGCCCTCATCACCTCATACCTAGATAACTGCAATAGCCCCATACTTAGTCCCTACCTCAAGTCTCTCCCCATTCCAGTCTATCTCTAACTCCCTCAGCTGTAAGATTGATCTCATTAAATGAAAAGTTTGGGCACCATACCTCCCCTATTCAATCCACACCAGTGGTTTTCTATTACTTCCAGGATCATCTCCAATTTCTGTTGTATATATCTAGTTTGTACATGTTTGTTTGCATGTTGTCTCCTCCACTAGACTTTAAGATCCTTGAGAGCAAGGACTCTAACTTTCCTTTTTATTCCCAGGTTAAACACACTGCCTGGCACATTTTGTTGTTGCCATTATTCAGAGGTGTCCAACTCTTCATGACTCCATGGATCATAGCATGATAGGCCTTTCTGTCTTCCACTTTCTCCTGAAGTCTGTCCAAGCTCACCATAGCTCATAGTTTCACTGAGCTGCACAAGCCCCTCTGACACAACAAGGCAGTGATCCAGGAGGGGAACATAGTAGGTCCCTGGTAGGTACATAATCTGACAGGTAGGAGAACCAAAAGAGGGTGGTATTTCAAGGTGCAGAACCTTATCACCTCACATTTAATGGTGATGGTGGTGATTGTCCTTGGTTCTCAAAGAGGACCAAAATCACTATGTTGGAGTCAAGGTACAGCATGTCCAACTGTGGCTAATCAGACCAATATGAACTTGGAACCCTCTACTACAGGGCACAAATAGTCCATATGGACCATTTGGAGTGGAAGTGTCTTTAAATTTCTTTTGAGCTACTACAATTCTGCTTCTCTCATAGACCACAGGGTCTTCTTGGATGTTGGCATGCCATGCTGGGCAGTCCTTTGCCAGTGTCTCCCACGTAACAAAATCAACACCATTCAAGTGGAAGCAATTCGGTTTTCTAGCATGGTGCTGGTAGTGTCCAGGTTTCACAGGCATACAACAATGAGATCAGCACAATGCCTCTGTAGACTTTCACTTTGGTAGGCAGTCTAATACCTCACTGTCCTTTGGAGTCTTCTAAACACTAAGCTAGCTCTGGCAATGCCTACATCAACCTCATCATCTATGTGTACATCCCTGGAAAGTACACTGCCAAGAAACATGTCATCAAAGTCAGCTACCACACTAATGGTAAATTATTTAATTTGAAAAGGCTACAAACTAAGACTAAAGTGGAGGGAGAGTTGGCACATGATTTTTTTGTTTGTAGATGATTGTGCACTCAATGCAACCTCTGATGCTGAGATGAAACAAAATATGGATTGATTCTCTGCTGCTTGTACTAATTTTGGCCTAAGAATTAACAGCAAGAAAACACAGGTTCTCCACCAGCCAGCATCACACTTAATAAATGCTTATTGATTAATTGGCTTTTAGTTGGTGCTTAAGAAACATTCATTGATGGGTTAACATGAGGAAAAAGTGAGTTAGACGTTGTTTTAGGACCACTGTATTTTGAGCTACTGCAAATACTATAAAAGGTAGAACACTGGATATTTCTGCTACCATAATAAAAGAGAAAAGCATAAAGTGGGTTTGTTTAAGAGTTGTGTTGTATTCTCTATCTCACCTTGAGCTTCCTGCACCAATGAGACCATAGCTCCAGCACCAATTCCTTATGAAAAGCAGGAAGTTTGGTGGTATGATGGATAAAGAACTGGACTTGCAGTCAGGAAGACCTAAGTTCCCATCTGGCTTCAGATACCACTTAGCTAGCTGTGTGACCCTGAGCAAGTCACTTAACCCCATCTGCCTCAGTTTCCTTAACTGTAAAATTGAGATCATAATAGCGTGGTTATTACAAAATCAAATGAGGTAACATTTGTGAAGTACTTAGTACAGTGCCCAACATATGGTTAACAAATTCTCATTCCCTTCATTCTTTGCCATATTTAAAAATTCATAAATAGACCATGGGAAAATCATCTTCTTTTATCAGGGATTACAGGTCACCGTGTGGTAGACCTGAAAATGGCCTAATGTGATCTCATACTCATGCAAGGAGCTTGGGAATGGAAACAGTTATGAATCCAAATAAGGTTACACACCATCTGTGTTTCTCTTCTGGTTTTAGTGTTACCTCAGGCAGTTACCCACTTTGAAGAGCTGGTGGGCATGGCAGAAGCACTGCTTAAAAGGGGAGGAGCCCCTTCTGCATCCAGCCCTCATTCCGAAGGCATCTGGAAGGCTACAGGAAATTCTGTACCAGATTCTTATTCTACAGTGGGTAATAATTACAGTTCACCTTTCTCCTCGAAGGTGGAGGAGGAAGAGCATACCATTAACAAAGAGGTTAGTTAAGTGATATGACTTGTCAATCTCTGGGGTAGTAAAATATGAAAATTAATGAATGGCTATTGGATAGAGTATTACTTTACAACTCAAATGACAAATTGACATTTAACCATTTGATTAATATTATGGGCCTCTATAACTACCTCAACTTTCTCCTGTTTTTATACATTCACAAATATGTTGAACATAGTACAGAGGTAGTATGACACATTGGCTATAGAGCCAGCTTTGAAGCCGTGAAGACCTGGGTTCAAATCTTGCCTATGACACGTACTGGCTGTATGACCCTGAGTACCCTCTAAATGTACTAGGTAGCTATCTTAGGCTGTAAGTAGCAAAGGAGGTGCCTGCAGATCTGAATGTATAGAGGGAGTTTCTTCATCTGGGAGTTCTCTATACTAATGAAAATCATAGGCCCAGTCCCTAGCTGGTCAAATGTAATAGTTTTAAAGGGATGTTGTTATTTCATACAATACAAATAACTACAATAGGTATTGTGGAGAGATGGACAGCCTTGGCATCCAGAAGAGCTTGGAATCCTGCCTTTCACATATACTGGCTTTATGACCATGTTATTTCTTAGCTAAGAGTCAACTTGTCAGTTCCCCCTGGCAACCCCAAGACTTTCAGTTACATAGTCACTGATCTTCATTGGTGGAGGTACTTTCCACACTTGGACTCTCTTCCACTGAAATCAAAGGTTCAGTCTTTGTCCCTATACCCAAGGAGAAAAATAAAGAAACCATAATTAAGAAATATAAAGATTCAGTCAAAAGGAAATAATTGTTTTGTTGAATTTCATTAAATATTAATATCTACAAATTGTTTTGTTTTTCAGTTCAAGATTGAAAAATGGCAGATTGCCCTTTGCAACAAGAGCAAGCCTCAGAAATTTATAAATGATATAATGCAAGCACTTTATACCAATGAATATATGGCAACACATAGCTTAACAGGGGCAAAATCCTCTTCTTCTAAAGAGAAAGCAGCAAAACCAGCTATGAACCAAAATGAAGTCCAGGAAATCATAGGTGACAATAAGCTTTCAATATTCTTACGCTAAAACTCAATGTAATATCTTAGAAACTCTTTGTAGGTATAATCTAGTTACTTATTCTTTTGCAGTCTTTAAATTTCAAGCTTATTGTTAATTTTTATTATTAGATTTTTTTAAAATGTCCTTTGTTCTAGAGATCTTATTTCACTTATAATTTCATTTTTATCACTTCCTTCATTTCTTCCAGGTGTTCTTATAGCACTTGAGGCTGTCATTTTTTTTTTTATTCTTAGGCTTTGTGTGTAGTTATGGAGTTACTTCTGTCTTATCTCTTGCTTGTCTCTTTGTCCATTATATTTCTTCATAGTGTTTGGTGTCTTCTGTTTATTATATCTCAAGCCTTAGTTACTGATTTGAGACTTTGTGCCAAGCCAGGATCCACCCTTCCCATACTCTTAGATGAAATGGTTGGGCCTTATTTGTCCTGACCTCAATTACTTGGGTTTCGTCTGCTACATTCACTTCTCCTGAGTCTGTGCTCAAAAGGCTGACAGATTTCAGGTTTCCTAGTATTGTTTGATTTCAAAACCCTGAGGTCTTCAAGGCCTTTGAGTGTCTCAGGTCACATTTCTGCAGTCTTCCAGCCTTCCTATCCCAGAAAGAGAACTGCAGGCTCCTGGCTCAATCTGCAGTCAGAACAGTAAGAGTGCTGTGGTTTTCTCACCCTTACCCTAGGACTTCCCTGTCTCCCCAGTACAGAGTTCTACAGGTTTCAGTGCCCTCTTATGCCTCCTAGGTCAGAGGGCTAAAGACTTTCAGCTACTCTAGGGTAAAGTGGTCGAAATGATGCCTGGCTCCACAAATGTATTTCTATGTAGTCCTGGCCTGGATCACAGCATTTATTATAGTCCTGTATGTATTTCTTGATCTTTTTTCCAGTTTGGTGTTGATCTTTACTAAAGTACATGTAGTAAACCTGAGCTTCCCTGGAAGCTTACATGCCACCCTATTAACCAGAAGCTCCACAATTTGAAATTCTTATTTCATAATTATTATTTTTTTGGCTAGGCAATGGGGTTAAGTGACTTGCCCAGGATCACTCAGCTAGTGAGCATTATGTGTCTGAGGCCGGATTTGAACTGAGATCCTCCTGACTCCAGGGCCAGTGTTCTATCCACTGTGCCACCTGGCTGCCCCAACATAATTTGAAATTCTTAAAAGCCTTAATTGTTCAAAATGTGAAATACAAAGTTTAGTGAATGATTTTATAGCTTGTCATAATTATTTTTCAATTTTTATTCACTTCTAATAGAGCCCAAAGAAAGATTAAATTAGCCCTTTAAAAAAATATTAATCCCTCATCCACAAAGAATCCACGTAAGCATTTGGGAGAAGAGGGCCTACTTCACTTGTGAATATGTCAATATAAATATATGGGATTATAATACAAAGATATAGTCAGTTTTGGAATTCTTTCCCTCACATGTTATTTTACCAGCATAAATTACCAGATTTTTAATTAGTAGAATATCAATCAGGATCAGTTGTTTCATCAGATATTGGAAATGGGCAGATCTGTGCTGGAGCCAGTTCCTCACTGGTCATGAGTGTGATTGTTAAATTTTTAATGTAAACATTTATACTTCAGAAATTAGCAAAAGTTACAAATCTGCATTTGATTTGTTGTTATATTGATTGAATAGACTTAAGAAAGTTATGAAGAAAATGTTAATAATGCAAATCAAACTTGAAAGTGTGGCCTTCATGCAATACATTTCCTCATCTCCAGCTGATTGATAAACATTGACCAGCACACACTAGAAACAGGTGCAAAAACAACCTCATCTTTTAGGCAAGTGGATTTATATCCATTAGTTATATAACTAGTAAGTAAACACCTCGTGTATTTACTGATCCTTTTTGCAAAACCTACCATTTTTTTCATCTCCTTAAATGATTCTGCTAAACTCTTCTCTATTTGGGGGATAATTTATAATAAGGAAAGTGGTTATTTTACCTAACTTGTAGGGGCAGTAGAGTTTTTAGGAAGAGTACCTAGAAGAACGTCTCACTCTGTCAGTTAATAGCTATATAACTGAGTTTAAGTTTTTTCATCTGTAAAATAGGGATAATAATTCTTGTACTACCAACCTCTCTAGAAAGTGAGGATCAAATGAAACAATGTATATGATGTGCTTTATTAAAATAGAGCTGTATAAATATGCATTATTGTTATTATGACTCATTCTTTCTGATCAAGTACCTTATAAATGCTTTCTTCCTTTCTTTCTTTTTTTTTTAATTTTATAGGGGTCACAAAACAGTTATTTCCCAACACAGATGATGCTTTAATTAGGAGAATGATGGGTCAAAAGTTAAATAACTGTACTAAGAAGCCAATTTTAAGCCAAGATCTTAATCCCCATGTTTTTAGGAAGCATGCCTTTTGGTAAGTGTTCTAAATCTGTGGCATTATCCTGTCCTACCTAGCCACATATGGGAATAGAATCAGATAGGCAAGGAATCTGAATACTCTTCTGGACAGAATTTTCTTTGGGGTACATAGAGGAATGGGAAAGGAAGGGAGTCAGGGAGAAGGAGCCTCAGGACAATACCTCAGGAACAGAGGCAAAAGGAGAATGAAGCTATGGGTCAGAATTGTAAAAAATCAGCTAAGGATTCTGAAATAGTAACAGAGACTAACTTCTTCACTGGGTGTGGCAGTTCAACCACAAAGCAGCATACAAACCTTAGAGAAGACCTTAGGTCAAATCAGGGTCCATAGGTTTAACACCTGGTTAACAGCCAAGAAATCTGAAGAGAACTGGATTAAAGGTCAGAGATTAACAATTTCTCATGCCAAGGGCTCCTCCTTCCAGAAGTCCTTTGATCTGGTGAGTGTGAGTCATGTCTTCCTATTGAGCTCAGTGAAGCCAGCAGGAATTGCAAGTGGCTTCTATCAAAAACACTCTATCAATATACCTATACAGATATAAAATCAGTATTCTACCAAAATTGCCTACTCTGTATACATATAGGATACATCCTGTATCATATATATGTATATATCCTATATATGCACAGAGTATATTTACAACATATACTATATACTACTATATTATGCTCTTTCTGTTTGTTTCTCTATAAAACTAAAGAGTAATATTTCTGCCTCTATACCCTTTTACATAAATGCGTGCTCGTATATAAAAATACAAATACACATATGTCTAACGTTGTGGTTCACAGACACCTACAATTGCTGCTGGGGCTCACAGAGCTAATGAGAGGGTATAGCTAGAACTCTCCCCCTCAAAAGAACAGCTGGAAAGATAAGAAAGGCTTAGTGCTCTGAAGGTGCCAAATCCTTAATCCCTGGTCTATATTTATAGCTTGTCTATACAGCTCTGTGGCTGTCTTCCTGTCTCTCTATGTATGTCTCTGTTTTCTGTCTCTCTCTGTGTCTTTGTGTGTATGTGTATCCACCCCTTTCTGCTCTGTGTCCAGAAATGCCATAGACCTGCACTGGGTTTCTTTTGCTGGGGTTTACTGACTTCTGGGTAGTGGAAGTACACTCCTAAATTCTCACATTTATTGGCTCATCACCTCCACCCTGGCAATAGCAGAAACTTGCTAATTATAGAAATAGCTGTGGGCTCAAAAGTGTAGGGGGTGCTCCCAGAAAGGAAGAAGTGAAAGGAGAAATATGAATCAGGTTCAGTATAGAGCAGGTCATTTTATTCCCATGTAAAAAGTAAGGGCAGCTAGGTGGTGCAGTAGATAGAACTTTGGACCTGGAATCAGGAAGATCTAAGTTTAAATATGGCCTCAGACATTTACCAGCTATGTGACCCTGGGCAAGTCACTTCGCCTCTGTTTGCCTCAGTTTCCATATCCTTAAAATGAGAATAACAATAGCACTTACCTCCCAGGGTTGTTGTGAGGACCAAATGAGATAATAATCATTATAAAGCGCTTAGCACTGTGCCTGGCACATTGTAAGTGCTACATAAAGGTTACCTATTATTATTAACTATTAATGATAAGTATAAGACAAATCATAGAACACGTTAACAGAGTAATTTAAAGGTTTGTATCAGATACAGCTGGCCTCTCCATGAACAAAGAGACTGATGTCATACCAAAAAAAGAGCCCATCAGGCTTTTCCCCTAAATTCTCATTCACCTGTGACACTGCTATTTTGCCACTGGCTATTAATCTACTTGCCTAAAATGATTAGGGTGGTTTTTTTTTTTCCATTTTTTCCAATATTTGCTAAGACAACTAGAATTCCCACACATCTACACAGAACATATTAATTTTTTTTTTTTGCTTTTAAAAGGTTTTATTTATTTTTAATTTATGGAATAAAATAAGCATTTCCATAACATAGCATGATAAAAAAAAAAGATGATTGCACATAAAACTGCAAATCTATTATGTAAAACTTGCTATTCATTTTAAATATATAATAAAATTATCATGTAATTTTTTCCTTTTTTCCCCTTCTCTTCACCCCTGCCCTAGAGATGATTACCATTAGACACAAATACATATACATATATACACAAAATCATTCTAAACATACTTCTAATTATCAGCTCTTTCTCTGGATGCAGATAGTGTCTTCCTTCAAAAGTACTTTATACTTAATTTAGGTATTTATGATAGTCAAAATCATTTCCTCAAAGTTGTTTTTTAAAACAAAGTTATGGTATACATGTTCTTTGGTTCTGCTCATTTTGCTCTTCATTATTTCCTTCAAGTCTATCCATGCTTTTCTAAGATTATCAAGTTCATCATTTCCTATAGCACATCACAATCATGTACCACAACTTGTTCAGTCATTCTCCAATTGGTGGGATATCCCCACAATTTTCAATTCTTTGCTGCCACAAAGAGAGCTGCTATAAATGTTTTAGTACATGTAGGTTCTTTTCTTTTTTCCCTAATCATCTTGGGAAATAGACCTAGTAGTGGTATTGCTGGGTCAAAGGGTATAGGTAACTTGATAACTCTTTGGGCATAATTCCAGATTGCTCTCCAAAATGGTTGGATCAGTTCACAATTCTACTAACAATAAATTAGTGCCCCAGTTTTTCCACATCCCCTACAGTATTTGTTACTTTCCCATCAATCATTTTAGCTAATTTGATGGGTGTAAAATGATACCTCAAGATTGTTCTAATTTGCATTTCTCTAATCAATAATGGTTTAGAGCATTTTTTCCGTAAGACTATAAGTCATTTAGATTTCTTCATCAGAAAACTACCTGTTCATATCCTTTGACCATTTATGAATTGTTGAATGATCCATATTCTTACAGATTTTGCAAAGTTGGAACATATTAATTTATCCTTTGTAGGCTACTACTGGACTATAAAAGGATCAGTCTAAAGCTGTAGGAGACCTCGAAGACTACCTAGTCTAACCCCCTCATTTTACAGATGAAACTGAAGCCCAGAGAGCTTAACTACTTGCTACTGGGTCTTAGATATTCTGAGTATATGAATTAATAATAATGTATATAATTGTGGACTACCTAATACCTTGAATATACCTTTTCAATAAGGAGATGTTTTATGATGTGGCTATAACTTGAGCTTAAACTCACAGTCATAGAAGTAGTAAAAATCAGAGGCAGGATTATGAACATTCATCCTCCGATTTTAGAATCAAAGCTCTTTCCACTTACTATGCTTCCTTTGATGGCATGATGGCTATAAATACCCTGGATCAAAGATGGAGCAGCCTATCTGACATCGCCCCTTCTCCTCAGGCCTGGGGGTGGGGTGGGCAAGAGAAGGGATCAGATTCCGTGAAAGAGACAATGTAACTATCTTAGAGAACCAAGAGAATACAATGTTATAGAAACCATGTATCCCAAAGTAGGGGATTGCAAGCAATGTGATTTGTTGCAGAGGCCAAGAAGGATAAGGACTATGAAAATGTCTTTGTACGTTGTTATTAAAAGGTTATTAATGACCCTGGAGAAAACAATTTCAGTATAGTGTGGGGAGCAGAAGACAGATTACGAAAAGTTGAGGAATAAGTGGATAGTAAAGAAATGCAGTATAGATTACCATATCTAGAAAGTCAGGGTGTAAAATTCATTTTTATGTAGGATGGCTCCCATTGAAAAAATTTAGGTGCTGTAAAAACTGGTGATAATATTCAGTATTTTTAAGTTACGGGTTTTTTTTCAGTCTGTATCATGTTTTTGATGTTTTTGATGTTCAGTCATTTCAGTCATGTCTGATTCTTTCTGACCCTATTTAGGGATTTCTTGGCAAAGACACTGGAGTAGGCTGCCATTTCCTTCTCCAGCTTGTTCTGCAGATGAGGAAACTGAAGCAAACAGAGTTAAGCGACTTGCCCATGGTCACACACCTAGTAAGTTTCTGAGGCCAGATTTTGAACTCACAAAAATGATTCTTCCTAATTCCAAGCCTGGCATTCTATCCACTGTACCACCTAGCTGCCCACCTAGTATATAATAGGAACTTAACAGATACTTGTCATTTAGTTGATTTTGTGTTTTTCTCTTTAACCTCAGAATGAAGCAACTTTCCTAGTCTATTACCTCTCTAGCTGCTCAAGCAATCCCATCCCATCTTGTCCCCTCCAACAGATTCCCTCCTCTGTCATTCCCACTCTATCATTTATTTTCAATCTCTCCCTGTCTACTAGCTCCTTCTATATTGCCTGCAAACATGCTTATTTCTCTTGTCCTCCTGTATCTTTTCTGCCCTTTGTTGCTAAATTATTTGTCTACCACAGTGACTCCACTTTCCTCTCACTCTCTTCTTAACCTCTTATAATACAACTTCTGACCTCATTCTTCCATCAAAATGGTTCTCTCCAAAGTTATCAACGATCTCTTAGTTGCCAAATCCAATGGCCTTTTCTTTATTCTCTTGCTCCTTGATGTCCCTATAGCCTTTGACACTATTGGTCACCCTCTTCTCCTTGATACTCTTTTGTCTCTAGGTTTTCGGGATACCATTCTCTTCTGGTATTCCTCCTACCTATCTGACCACTCCTTCTCATTTTCTCCATTGATAGATTCTCATCTATATCCTAAACCATAAGTGTCCCACAGGGTTCTGTCCTGGGCACCCTCTTCTCTGCTCTCTTTAAACTACTTCACTTAGTGATCTTATCAGCTTCCATGTATTCAATCACCATCTCCATGCTGATGACTCTTAAACCTACCTCTACTGTCCTAACCTTCCTGCTGACCTCCAATCTGGCATCTTCAACTACCTTTTACATATTTAAAACTGGATTCCAGGAGACATATTAAACTAAACCTATGCAAATCAAACTCATTAACTTTTCCTCTAGACTCTCCCCATTCTTGGAAATAACCTCTGGTGCCCAAATAGGCATAGTAAGTTAGGCAGACTCAGGATGAATGAAGCAGTGAAATCTTTAATCCTGAAGGAAGT